TGTAGGTCTGTCTCCTCCTGTCCCCACTGCCAAGGAAACGGGTACTGTCCCTCACTGGCCCAGGTCAAGGGTCTGGACTGGGTTTTCTCCAGGAGGAGACCCTCAGAGAAAGGGCATCAAGGAGGGCGCACTCTCTTCTTGCTGGCAGACAGGCTCCGTACGGTCCTTTCCTGACCTGGGCACCTTCGCAAGGACCAGAGCCGTGAGCGTGGATTTGGGAGGAAAGAGCAGGCTGCTCGGTTAGCTGCATCTACACTAAAGGCATGCCTCACGTTTTAACCCAGGGGTGGGCACACTGTGGCAAACCATATGCAGCTCCTTCGGGATGTACAGGTGGCTCTCAGGTAAAATTGAAAATGAAGATAAAACGATCTTAATAACGAGAGTAACGATACCAAGAGGGGAAGGGGAAGGTGGGGAAGAATGGGGGAACCAATCACAAGGGTCTACATATAACCCCTTCCCTGGGGGATGGACAACAGAAAAGTGGGTGAAGGGAGACACTGGACAGTGTAAGACATAAAAAATAATAAAAATTTATAAATTATCAAGGGTTCGTGAGGGAGGGAGAGGAAAAAAATGAGGAGCTGATACCAAGGGCTCAAGTAGAAAGAAAATGTTTTGAGAATGATGATGGCAACAAACATACAAATGTGCCTGACACAATGGATGGATGAATGGATTGTGCTAAGAGTTGTACAAGTCCCCAATAAAATGATTTTTTTAAAAAGGAAAAGAAAGAAAATAAACTGATCATACTGTCGCTTCTAAAAATGTTAAAGGCTATTATGCAGGTAATGGTGAGTTCATCTGTTTATAAAGACGTATTGATGGCTCTTGAATAATTTTTAAATTGTTGAGAGGGACAGTATTGGCTCTTCCATCTCGAGAGTGTGCTGACCCCTGTTTCAGCCCAGTCCAGTAGGATGTGTGCTTGGAGATTTGAGGTCAAAGTCCCAGGCTAAGGGTCGCCACTTGGTGGCCGCTGTCTTCTTTTCAGGGAGGGGTGGGCTAGCTGAGTAGCAGGCGGAGGACTCTTGAATCTCTTGGCCAAATAACAACACCCCTTGTAACAGTTCCATTAATCACGACCTTATAGAATGGTGTGATTGTCTCCAGTTAACTAACTTAGAAACTGCAGCCCAGAGCCGCTTGGAAACGTGACCAAGGTCACAGATGGTAGAGTATGCGGATCTGATTCCTCTGTATCTGACCCTAAAGCCCCAACTCCTTTCTTCCAGGACACAAAACCGTGCCATCCAACAAGACGACGGACCACTCAACTGTCAGGGATGGGACGGTCCGAGCGAGCGAGAATGGAGCCGTGGGCGGGGACGTTTCCCGCAGCACAGACGGACAGATGAGCCTTAGCACGGAGAGCAGACGTTGGCGGGGAGACTAAGTTGACAGTTAAGTGAACAGTTAAAGCAGCGGTTCTCAGCCTGTGGGTCGCGACCCCTTTGGGGGTGGGGGTGTCGAACGACCCTTTCACAGGGGTCGCCCGATTCACAGCAGCAGCAAAATTAGTTATGAAGTAGCAGCGAAAATAATGCTCTGGTTGGGGGGTCACCACCACATGAGGGGCTGTATGAAAGGGTCGCGGCGTGAGGAAGGCTGAGAGCCACGGGGGTGAGGTAGCAGTTGGCAGCCCGGTGAAGGAGACCCAGGGTACCGCAGTGACCGCTAGCGTCTCTGTGGGTTCTCCCTGCAGCCCGAGTTCTAGCCCCCCGTGTCTCTGGCACACCGGTTCTGGGGTGTCCCAGTGTCTCGTACATCTCGCGTCAGAGTTCTTACAGTCCCGGTTGAATGGCTCTTTCCTCGTCTCCTCCTCTCGGCTGGCGCTTTGGGGGACAAGGGACCCAATCTGTTACGCTCCCTGGTGGATTCTGGTCAACATTCTCTTAAAGAAATAAGAACAAGGGGGGGGCAGGAAAAGGGAGAGGAGGGAAGGAAGGCACTGCTGGGGGTGGGAGGTGGGCACAGTCCTGTCCCTAAACGTGGAGCGGCAATTTGGGACATGTTAACATAGAGTAGGCCAGTATCCCCAACATACCTTGACCTTTGATCCCAAAAGGTGGCACAAACTCCCGGATCCTAGCCCACTTGCGGAAGGAGTCGTCCAGGAACATGGGTGCTGGCTTGGAGAACCTGCAACATAACACCACTGCTGAGGATCCTGAGTCCTGGCCGGCCGGCTCTCTGTGCATCGATCTTGGCTGTGGATCTGCTGGACGCCACTCCTACACCCCAGCACCCCCTCCCTACCCGTCTGTTGGCTGGGGAGCTGCTGTGGGGGTCTGACAGATCTTGCTCAGGGGAGCCTGGGCCCGAGGAGGCGGACGGGGCCAGCCTTGTGTGGCCAGCTGTAAGAGCAGAGCTAGAGACCATTTGTTCAGCAAGAATCAACATCTCAGCTGGGAAGCTGTCCAGTTATCACGGGTCATCTCCGTCACTGCTACCCAAACTGGTCTTGCAATCGTGGAGCATGGAAACAACGTGGCGCGGATTTGGGAGGTGGACCACCTACAGCGAAGGAGGAGGAGAATTCATCATGAGATGGCCCAGCGGGCTCAAAGGGATAGGAGACAGATTTGGGGAGAGAAGAAAAAGGAAAAGCAGCGTGCCCTATGACTGGAGGCAGGGCTGAGAGGAGAGGTTTCAGACAAGTAGGAACTTGATTCTATTTGCTGCTAGAGAGAAGAAATGAGGAAACGATACATTTCTCAGGAGGTGGGGACTGGATCTAGAGGTTAGGGTCGGCTCTGCAGGAAAGGGGGAGAAAAGAAAGGCTGAAGCTATGCAGAACTGGGGAGGGGAAAAAACACAAGGCCAGGCTAACTCTTCTTGGGACAGCAGAGGACTGTGAGGGCAGAGTGTAGGCTTGAGACGTATGGGGGAAGCCAGAGGCAGGGAGCGACGTGGAGTGAACCGGTCCAGGGACACAAGCTCTTCAGAGATGCTTGGAGCACATGGCTTCAGATGGCACCTCCCATTTCCCTGGTTTGTCACTCTTTAAGGGCACCTGACAGTCCAGGGAGGAGACCCGGTGGCGCAGTGGGCGTGCAGCCAAGGTCGGCCCTTCAAAACCACCGGCCGCTCCCCTGGAGGAAGACGGGGCTGTCTCCTTTTCTACCCCCACAAAGACTTACTCTCAGAAACTCACAGGGGCAGGCCTACCCTGTCCTATGGGGTTGCTGTGAGTTGGGATGGACCCCAGGGCTGTGAGCTTGGTGTGGTGTAGTCAGTCCGGATGATGGCCAGCACTTAGCCACTTACTGGGTACTGGGCGTCTTGCAATGGGGTCAGTCTAGGGCCTTCCCGGGCCAGAACGGAAGGTGTGGAGGGCAAATCATAGGCTCTACAGAGACATCATTTGCCTTGGTTGTTCTGTCTCTTTGTTTCTAACTCAATCTGCACCAGTCCCCTGCCCAACTGAAAGCCTGCCAGTGCCAAAGCTAGAATGTCCCCTCAGCATGGTGGACCTGACAGCGAGGAACACAGGCGTCCACTTCTCAGTATATCAATCACCACCACCCAGAAGACACCATATCACTGATCACTAGAGGCCTCATGTTATTCTTAGAGACGTTGAAGGGAACCTGAAAAGGGAAGTTCTGCTCCCTCCCTGTCATTCACAGCTAAAACAGATTTCAGCACCTGAGAGGGTTGACCGGCCAGCCTGAGGCACAGCTTTCCCTCGGAGCTTGTGAAAACAGAGCAGCGCAGGCACGACTCCCTCTCACTTCAGGAGGGCGGCAACAGCATCAGCGTCTGCCCAAGCAGATTCCTAGGAAGTGAGGACCTATGAGTCCACCGATCTTTCTATGGATTCTTTGATCAACTATCCCTCCCGTGGCATCCTTGACCTCTCTGCTGGGTTCAATAAGTCCTTGCAATGGTCAGACAGGGCTCACAGACAATACTCACGATTAGGGGGTTTATTGGAGAAGTAATGGGTTACAACGCTGGATCGGTAAAGACTCAGGATGTAGTCTTTAGTTAGTACAGCCTCTTATCAGCCATGCCTGCAGACAGGGCTTCCTTGCTGTCCTCCTCCGGCCCTTAACACAACAGGGATCTTGCCCTTTGGGGGCGAGGCTGGCCTTTGCTCTGCTCAGGCAAATGTTACAAAGCTCAGCCAGTAAGTGCCTGGAGGCACCCCACTCTGCCAGCAAGCCTCCTGCCAAAAGGCATTCAGATCTCTCCATTGGGCGGGGAAGCCCGTCACACTGTTTCCTGCTGGTCTCCTGGCTCTGCGGCCATTTCTCCACCACTGCCTCTTGTCTGCAGGAGTACAGCCGTCTCCTGGGTGAAGGGGCTCCAGAGCAGAGACCCTGGGTCCAAGGGGCCCACTCTGCTTCGTCCCTTCTCAGTTACAGGCAAGTCCCCGCTTTCTGCCTCTGGGATGGCTTCCCCCCCTACTCCCCTCAAAACAATAATGATGATTTTGAGAGTAACACACAAGCACAAAGAAAAAGGCCCTTTATGATGTGGAAAAGCTTAAAAAAAAAGAAGTGAAAATTACAATGTTTTAAAAAAAATCATTTTATTGGGGGCTCGTACAACTCTTATCACAATCCACACATACATCCATTGTGTCAAGCACATTTGTACATTTGTTGCCATCATCGTTCTCAAAACATTTGCCTTCCACTTTAGCCCTTGATATCAGCTCATTTT